TTTTTTATATAAAAGGAAAATAAAAAGTAATTTTGTTATAGCTACAATAAACGTTTTTTCTTCTTTTAGTTCCTGCACATTATCGGAGAGCGAAATGCACTCGACATTTCAGTCTTCTCAGTCCATGCGCCCGAGGACTGAAATGGTATTTTATTTTTATTGCAATAATCCTTTTTGACAAAAATATATGATTTTCGTTGTCATTAAATTAAGATAAAACGCAAGCTTTTTTTTTTGAACAACTCATGATCGAAAACTAAGATGACCAAACTCGTTTACTTCGACCATTCTCGTGACGATTCTGCATTAATAGAACGCCTCCTCCAGAAGCCTGTCAGATGCCTCGTTCTCCCCTTATGGTCGGCCTGTCTTTGAGTATAGAACAACCGTAGCGCGGTGGCGCCCGCCTCCGACACTGCCTGGATATCCGGCCCCCGTATCTAGGTATACTCCGTCTCATACACAGTATAGACTATTTGAAGCAAAGCGGCTGGCCGCCGCCATGTCTCTGCTGGTGCGGACAAGCCCGTGCATTTGCAAGCTTGCCAAAGCCATGCTATCGCGCAAAGTTGCACGCACTTGCACGCATGGGGCACCGGTCAAGGCGCAATGCCTGCAATTGTTTATATAACGCTGTCAAAGCTCGCGGGGCGTCATCTATGGTTTTGTTTGCGGGACAACGCGTGCAAGTGATGAACAAGATCAAGCCCCATGCTCACGCCAGAAGCTCTGAGAGCGTTGTACACCAATACCCTAGTTACACTAGCGCTCTTAACTGTCATTGAGCCAACAACGGTTGACTCCATCGCGATCGGCCAGAGTTACACGGCGGCATGAACAGTCATTGAGCTGCTAGCGACAGTTGGGTTCAACTGACCTGGCCCGCCTAAATTAACTGGTGGGTGTTCGCATTAATCAATGCCTCCTATGCCTGCCGGACGGAGGAAAATAAAATGGGGGCCGCCGTCTCAGAAGTTGCGCGCCACCGCTGTTGTTTCAGTGTGAGGGCGCCACCTGAAAAAGGACCTAGACTGAAGAGAGGGTCTCTCTCAAACCATGGGGAGCGTTTGCAATTTAATAACGGACACCCCTGCGGTGATTCGTCGCAAGTGCGCATGCGCTGCGTTGTCGCGTCGCGATGAGGAAATCGGGAGGGAATTAGACGTCTGCAGATGATCAACGCTTTCGTCAACATTTGGAGTTGACGGCGGTCTCACCCTCTTTTACGCTTAAACCTTTCCTTCGCAATATGTAAAATTCTTGCCAGTGATCACCACCATGCCCCTCCCCCCCATTAGGAGCCCCCATATACATTTTTTTTCCACATCTTCCAGTTGTCGACAAGGCGCACCTGAATTTAACTCGATTTTTATGATGTTATGAGAAGCTATTTGTGCACTCAACGAATTGTTGTTTATAATTGGCTTAATAAAAGAAAAAAAGACGACTGCGAAATTTTGAAAAAGGAACTGTCAGCAAAAAGGTCGCAGGACTCGGCACTCGAGCACTGAACTGGGCCATCCAGGTCAGTGAACGGCCTTTATCGAAGACGTGCCATGAAGGGTTCGTACTGGACTGGCAGCAGTTGGTCCTACTTAGGTTTTACGATTCTGAGATTGCCGGGACCATCATTTCTCGGGCGAAACGCCAGCCATTAAACCCGCACCTTTCTACATACCCAATAAAGCCTACAACATACATAACTAAGCAGGATAGCTTCAAATACGTCATCACGCATTCATCTTTAAGATTCTACAACATTAGGTTCTCAGCAAAACCTAGAAAAAATTATTGTCAGCCAAACAACTGCCTACAGCGTTTTTTTTTTTTTTTTTTTTTCGCCAGAAGAATTATGAGCGGCAACAACGCAACACTATTTAATACTAATTAGAACCACTGTAACGTACAACTTTCATTCCGAGGCTTGTCATATTTTATTTGTTCATTAGTGTACCTTATGACAATTTTTGCATATCTTCTTTAATATCTGCCACCATAATGAGGAAACGTAATACTCTAGAGGGTTGCAAAAGGACGCCCATCAATTAAACGTTTATCGTTTCTATTGAAACTCTACGTTCTTTGAAAACGCTTTACCAGAACGAACGCTGAAGATGAGGCGACCTCCTCTCCAGAGTTGGCTCTACTAAAGTGAAGATAGGTGGAAGGAGTTTTCCCTGAACTCTTAAGGGGGTAGTGCGGCGATTTTTTGGGGCTACCCCAACAAACTACATTTTCAAAATCACCTCCCTTTACCTTTTTCCATATGCGGTTTGGTATCGCAAACTTCAATATAATTATAGTGAAATCGGCAAATGAAAATAATGTCAAAGCCAGCGTTCAAACATACCCGCGCTTTTCGGTGCCGTGATGTCAGGGGGAGGCAGGCTTGCGGGTCGAGCAGGCAGTTTAATAATGGACTACGCCGAGCATTTGTTTCGGGCTGCTGCGTGGGTACTGAAGCGAGCTTCCAAAGCATTCATTTCTTGACGCTGTGAAACTGCTTGCAATCAATTGGGAACAAAGTCTACAGCCCAAAAAGTGAGCCCCTGCCTTCCGGTGACGTCACTTTTTCATTGTTGCCACTATACCCGTTTTCACCTCAGGAACCGAAGTAAAAAAACGTCCGGCTCTTTGCGGTGTACTACTAAGTTCCGCCTGTATGTCGAGTATTAAGATATACGTAGGTTCATTTTTAGATTAGATACATGTTGTCTTATCAAAACCTACACGTTCCAAACTAAAAAAAAAAAACATCAGTTTTTCCTCCGACAATCGAATCTCGTAAGAACTACTTCGCGCGTGTATGAACAATGCGCAAAACTTGCTTTTTTCTCGAGGTGAAAACGGGTATAGAGACTTTCACCTTAAAAAACACGGTGAGGACCGAAATTGTCAACTCGATAACATAGCAAGAAAGCATTATTTCGGTTCAATATTGTAGTTACTTCTTAAGCAATGTTTTTAGTGGTTAGCAAGTGTTCAGACACGTCGGGGGCTATTAAATGCGAGTGAGGCGCCAATGATCGGCTTGAACCTTGTTTTAATCACTGCGTGAAGTGTTTGACTGCGTCGCCGGACGCTTGGTGTTGGGCTCTCGTCCTGTGACGCGCTGCAAGTTACAACCACCATATAACATGGACATCCAATATAACTCGATGACAAGCATTTCCTCCTATTTTTCGCGCGTCGTTTAGAGATTCGCACAGCCTTTACTCAACTTATCCTTATACTAAGACTGTAGCTAATGCTGAAAGCGCGAGATCGCGGCTTTTAAATGTTATTCAGTAAAACGAACGCTCGCGCTAGGAAGGCACTTCTCAAAGCCACGGCGTGACGTAGCTCGGGCTTGTAGTTTGGGCTGTAGTCTCAGCTCAAGCGTGGACTGTCTATAGACGCTTTGCTGGAGCTGTGCGTTGCGCCGCCAAAACCGAAATTCAGTTTGTTTGTTTTTCCTGTTATTTTGTTCACGTCATATTTCCACAACAGGACGTGTTATGGCCAATTTAGATTCTACTGTTTCTATCTCCCCAGCATAGGCCTGTCTGGAGGCTCGTCATTGCCCGATTCAGGGGCTCGGCGCCTCGATAAGACAAGAGAAGGTCAGCAATGGCGGCTGTACTCTGGCGCGTGTGCAAAGCGTTCAAAAATCCCGCCCTCTTACGGTCCATCTGAAAATGCTGCAAACCGGTGTGCGCAAAAAAACATCAACCACCTGGCAAGTCTATAACTGATATAACACTCCCTTCCAAGGGACTGTACACGACTGAGAGAGTTTCCATTTTTATTGTGTCTTTTGCGCACCCTACTTCGCAGTATTCTAAGATCAACCGTAAGAGGGCGTAATTTGTTTAGGAGTCTATACAGAATGTACGCGAAAGTTTCTAGGCGCGGTGAGAAGGGCGGCGTCATGTCAAGCTATGTTGCAATCTGCCTGAGCATCTTTTCAAAACTCATCCTCCAAGTTTAGAGTTCTACAAATCACGTCTTTGTTTTTCACCGAGCGGATGCAGGAGCGTGATCATTTTGAGCCACGTGGAGTGATTTTTGCTCCTTTTAATGTTCGTCGCTAGAGGGAGCGGAGCACCTTTCCAGCGCACATACGAGGAATAAGGGAGGGCGTGAAAAAGCTCATGTTGCCCATTCACATCACGGAGCCTCCCTAAAAATATCGAAATATGGTCATTTCTAGTTTCCGTCTCACGAATCGCGTACAATGCTGGCAGAGCCTCGGGCACGTACACCTCATCTAGTTGAGTGCGCTAATTTAAACGTTCACGGAAGAACTTCTTGAGTTTTTCCTTTTTAGGGCGATAACTCAAGCTATGCGCTCTAACCTTTCTAAGATAGCAGACAATTACGATCGTGTGCGACCTATTTCTATCCGCTAAAAACCAAAACAAACATCGCGTCGCAGTTTTAGTCACGTTTTTATTAGTGGAAAGGTTCACACACGATTGTAATTTTGTGGGTCTTTTCGGGTGGTAAGAGTCCGCTAAATATTCTACTATCGCCAAAAAAAGAAAAAAATTAAGTCCTCTTAAGTAGTATGCTAGAGCCACGCGTTAGGCTAACCCCCCTATTTTTCAAAGTCTTGATCTCGGGTGTCTTGCCCATTTTGATGCCGCATACTGAAGCATATCTAGCAAAAATATTTTGTAAAATAGGTACATTTCGTGAATATTGCGTTCTCTACAAACTTTAAGAAGGGAAAAACAAAATTACATATTTCGCTGGATTCCTTTTGAACACGAGCAACATTTAAATTCCGAGACGCCAAGCGCTGTGTAAGTGCGTCGTCAACCCGATTTGCGGAACACCACTTATCCCTTGCACGCCGTGGTCACTGTAACAAAAAAAAAAAAAAGAAAAGAAAAGAAAAAGTTTACAGCAAGATTGTTTTAGAAGTGCCGAGCCAGAAAATGATTTCAGATCGGTACGGCTTCATCGACCACTAAAACGATAAGTGCTGATTACCAAACAAAAGGCGGTGCACTCACCCAGATTGCAGTGCAGCGCCGGTAAGCTATCCGACCAGCAGCAGACGAAGCACTCCTGAAGACGGTTGCGCTCTCAAAAAAATATATAGATTTAAGAAGAAAAACGGCCCCGGAAGGAGGAACCACTCAGTCGGAGGCTCTGACGACGAGCAGAGAGCAGCAGACGACGGCGAGCTCCGTAGGCCCCTGATCACAAACCGGTCTCAATGGATCCGACTTTTCGTCTTTGCAGAAATCCCCGAATTAATTAGATACGATGATCGACGCACGATGCAACAATGTGCGCGAGAGAGTTCGGCAGAACAATTTCCGATGAAACCTCAACGAACGCGGCGCGCTATTCCTGTGTCGCGGTGCAAAACGCGGGAATGCGTTGCGGAGTGCGGAAGAGCACTGCACGCTTCCCGCCGCCGAACCGCGCACTGAACGGAGAAACCCCCGAAGCACTGAGCCAACCGCGGTCCGGACGCCGGGCTCCTTCTCGAGAAAAAAAAAAGAAAAGAAGCGAATAAAAAACAAACGAAAAACGCATTCGTTTGACGGAGGTGGTATAGCGCCGGTACAGAGAGCGAAGAACCCTAGGACTCTCCTCTCCCCGGCACGCGAAGATCCTCGATCTGCGCATGCGTGGGCCAGTGACGTCGATCCTACGTCATCACCGGGGACCCCTTTCTCCTTATTCTCTCTTCATCCCTCGCGCGCCTTCTTCTTTCGTACCTTTCGTGTTTGTTTCTGTTTGTGACAGATTATTTGGGGGAAAAAGGGGGGGGGGGGGGGGGGGCGGTCGTTATTTCGACTAGATTTTCCTTACGCAGGTAGAAACTTTTGGTTTCTTCCCTCTTCGCACAATAAAAAAAAAAGTCATATCCCGATTCACGCTCCCCAATATTGAAAGGTAGAAGATTCTTTTTTCTTCTTCTTTGTTTCGTTACTAAATATTCCCTTTCTTTTTAGCGTGCAGCTTTCGCTTGCGAGGCTACGTGGAGGCTAATTTGATTCGTGATTCGGTGTTTCATGCGCACTTCGTGCGTGCCGCACGTCGTTGGTCGTTCGGGATATTAAATTTGGTTCCAAGACCTGCCCTTTTCATACGACGGTTCCGGGTATTCTTCTAGTTCCTCGAGTTTGCCTGTTTCTACTTTTCTGTTTTCGGTCACGCTTGCGTGTTTATATTCTCCCTTGAAACTCTCTGCGCACGAAAAGCAACGTCAAAGCGTATCAGAAAAAAAAAAAAAAATGAATAGCCGATATTGGTAACTACGCGCAGATAGAAGCTTCCCATTTTGTATAGAGTGGGATACTTTCTTCCGACGTTCCAAGTACTCACCTCATATATATGCTACCATAGAAGTAAATAAATAAATAAATATATATATATATGTATTTCTTTTTTTTTTTAGGGATTGTGGTTTTGTTAGGGGAGAGATAATCAGAAGACGATATATATATATATATCTTTTTTTTAGGGATTGTGGTTTTGTTAGGGGAGAGATAATCAGAAGACGATATATATATATATATCTTTTTTTTAGGGATTGTGGTTTTGTTAGGGGAGAGATAATCAGAAGACGATATATATATATATATATCTTTTTTTTAGGGATTGTGGTTTTGTTAGGGGAGAGATAATCAGAAGACGATATATATATATATATCTTTTTTTTAGGGATTGTGGTTTTGTTAGGGGAGAGATAATCAGAAGACGATATATATATATATATATCTTTTTTTTAGGGATTGTGGTTTTGTTAGGGGAGAGATAATCAGAAGACGACTAGAACCAAGACATGAAGATGGGAAGACGGAGGCAGTTTTCCGCTCTCAAATAAGTGACTGAGCTTCGTCGAGCGTCTGCTCTCGAGAACCCAGGTGCAGCGAAACTGCCTTTCCTGGCAGGGCTACACTTTCAAGGGTGCTTCGTAGTCTTGAACGGAGACCGCGAAATGAAGGTACTTGCAAGAATGCAATAATACAAAAAAAACAAAAAAAAACATATAACATTGTTGTCGTTTTGTGAATGATGTCTGCTGTATAGAAAGGGGGGTTAGACGACATCGTTATCCGGAAAATAAAAATTTGATCCTGAGCTCTTTGGTTTGTCAAAACTTTCGCTCGTTGCCCCCGAAATGTCCTCTCTGATAGCGCAATTACCATGATCTAAAAAAAAGAAGAAAATAGCGCACCTGCTTACTGAATTTTAATGACAGATGCTTAGTTATGAACTAACTTTTAATTGCTTTGTAATTGTAAAACGGATTTCTCCTTCCTAGTAACGCGTTGCAACTTTTACTTCTTTGTTCCCTAGATGTAAAAACTGTTGCTTTCACTTTTTTTTTCGGGTGTGTTGGAACTTACATTAAGAGAAGATTTGACTGGTATGGTAATGACTAGGTAATATAATTTTTTGCCTCCTCTCACATCATCGAAACGGACAAACTTCTAATTATGATAGGGACTGATCATTTTAAAGGTTTGGACTGTTTCGTATCAGTGATGACCCGACCCGTGCAGTGTGACAAACCTACGAGCTCAGCGTGGGATATCTGTGTTTACAGTTGGCTGGGCGTCGAGTAAAATTTTTAACCCCATTAATCGCCACATCGATTAATTAATCCACTATTTGGTCTCGTACATTTTCATGCATAATATTCGTATTTATTTTTTAAGTCCTAATTAATATTATTTTTTGTCGTTGCTGAATTTGTCATAAGCGGGGCAATATACAATTTCGATTGTGAAACAACCCCGATGTGTTGTTGAGAACAGTTCAAAGACACTTACACTCACAGGTTATTACTTCAGCTGCCTGAGGCAAAGTGGCTCGCTGATTTTCTCCGGCAAGAGCGACCTCCTTTGATTGTCCACAGTTGTCTCTGCTGCGCTAAACGGACACTTGAACGGCGTTGAAATTGCCGGGACATGTGTAAACCTCTATGTTGTCAAAAGTTGCGAATCTTGACCGTAAAGTCAGTTTACTCTAAGCTGAAATTTTTCCTAAAGTGTGTCCTTTATACAAGTGTCTCGTCTATGTCTAAGTTTTGCTTATTTTGGTTCCACGTGTAATTTTCGAATGGTCCACGTGTCATTTTTATTTTATTTTGGTTCATCACAATTGACCGATTAACCGAATAAAAAGATTAAAGCATTAATCGATTAATCGGTAGGCTAATCGATCAATTGCCCAGCCTAGTTCATAATGCTTTTTTTTTTGTATTTGCGCCTGTTTTTTCACAAATGAAGAGCCTTTTATCCATTCCGTTTGTTCCAGCGCTTCATCAAACGTTTTGTACCAGCACCACTACTGCTTTGACTCTCCTCGCCTCCTTCCGGTGAGTTGCGAAAACAGGCGAGCCCCCCCCCCCCCCCCCCCCCCCCCCCCCCCCCCCCCCACCTGCAACCTGGTAGCGTTTTAACGGGATTTTAACTTAATGTACCGTATACAGTTTTTGACATCTTTATTCTCGGACAAAGGCGAGAACAGAAGAAAAAATGAAAGCCGTTTACAACTCCCTGTAACGCCGAACTAGAGCGCAGCTCTTGAGGAGGAGGAGGGAAGAGTACTGAGAGGAGGGAATATTCCTCCTCCCTCCTCCTCCCTCGTGATCCTGCCTGCTACTCCTGAACGAAAGGGCTTCGGTTCGAAGCCGGCCGAGGGACAACCACATAGAGTCTTTTAAAATAATTTTTCAGAGTAATGAAAATTCGGATTCGTTCCCCCCTGCTCATCCTCCCTGCTCCCTTCCTTTCTCCTCCTCCCCTCACGGGGGTCACGTGATCTCGGGGAGGGGAGGGGGTCACGAGACCCCCGGACCTGGGGAGGTCACGTGACTTGGGGGGTGTCGCGTGACCGGGGGGGGGGGGGGGGGAGGGGGGGTCACCTGACCTGGGGGGTCATGTGATCGGGGGGGGGGGGGGGTCACGTTACCTCACGGTGACGCCGACGGCGACAGCGACGCCGCTCAAGCCGGAAACAGGCGCCTAAGTGCTGCGCTCTAAAAAGAAGTGTGCATATAAGTATACATTTTAACGGACTACATTAGTGACAACAAGCTTCGATGATGTTATCCAAATTAAGAAAATATAGAGAACTTACCCCTCCCCCTCCCCCCCTCCTCCCTTTTCTGCGTGACCTTGTCAGTGGTTTAATCAATATCGGCTGCTGGTCGCGTTGTGTGTCATGACGCAAGAAGCCCGCTTACAGATTATCGGGTTATATATAGTAAATCTAAAATAAAAGATTATAGAAAAAAAAAGTTTTTTTTTTTTCTTTCAGAGCAAAAACCTAATTGCGCATTGCCGAATGCTCATTCTCTGCCCAAATATAGCGATAGTGGTCCGATATAGATGTCTTATTCTCAGCACTAACCGTTACTTTATTCAAAAGTTACAAGGGATTTTCTGGAGCGCTTAATGGGAAAATGGGACCCATTTTTGTTTGAAAATGTCTTTAATAATAATAAGATAAAAGAGACACCGGGGCCAGGTCAGCTGGGCTTAAGCCGTCGGTGCTGTGCTGGGGATGGGGATGGAGATTAAAAGAAGTGAGTCAGGTGAGCCTCCTTAATGAACCGAAAGAGGGAGTCGAATTATTCCTTTCGATGCTTGGGTGAGCCGGATGGTCTGCTGCATTCCGCCAAGCTCTTGGTTCTTTGATCCTCGGAAATGGTCTGTAAACCTTTTTTTTTTCTTTTTGTCTAAAATGTTTATGCAGTCCCAGAAAACGTGATTTTCTGAGGCCAAGACCTTGCAGTGTCGGCAGAGACTTTTGGCCATGTCGTCTGCGGGGTCTGAGTTTTCTTCGTTGTACCTTTTCGGTCGTTGCTTGTTCCAAGGGTACATTGCAGTACGTTTAGGTACCGTGGCGGTTCCGGTGCGTAGTCGCCTGTAGCAGACCCTGTCCCATCGGGAGTAGGGACCATCCGGCAAAGGGTGTGAGTCCTGTTTTCTGAGTACATGGAGCCTCTTCTCGGCGCTTTGTCCGCTCATCGTCCTTGAGGGCTGTAGGGTCTTGTCTTTCCGAGGAGTAGATGAGGCTACCATTTTCGCCCGTTTTCCGTAAGTGGAGCCCTGGAGCTCCATGTATTAGAAAAATCTGTTGGCCGCAATTTTCGCATCAAACTTTGAAAAAATACGTATAAATTTCAAATAAAATAACGGTCAGTGCTGAAACTTTGGCATCTGATTCGAACCGCTAGGCCTACATTTGGGCATAGAATTAGCATTCAGCAATGCGTAATTTATTATTGCAATGCATTTTTTTAATGTAAATTATGAACACTAAAGCTTCCAAGCCATTTTGGATAGTTCGCAAAAGTCGGTTTCTCAACGCATCGCGCTGCAATTTACTACAGAGGTGTGGCGAGGTAGTGGAAGCTTGGAGTGGAAATATCAACGGACGAACTTACCCCGTTCAAAAAAAGAGAAAAGATAAACCTGCTCCGGACTATC